CCAGCTGTGTACTAAACCGGGATTGATGAACCAGCAAACTTCATGGCTCCTCTGTTTTCTCATGGCTTCGCTATGCTTCGCTGAAACGTTGAAACTACCCGTCCAAACGGCCGGCGGGCATTTGAACACATTTAAAAGCCAAAGGGTGGCCGAGTGATCTTCTCGGATTGAACATTGAGGAAACCAATTGAACCGCAAACTACGGCCACTTCCAGCTACGAATGCCAGCTGTGTAGAGATTTCTTGGTCTCCAGCGAAACAACCTCAGGGGTACATAACATCAAACCCCTCCTCCTTGCCACGCCGGATTTATCGCGGATAAGCGTCCTGATCAAAGGTCAAACAGAAACGCAACGACTCCCACTGGAATTGCCAATGCAGCAAGTGCGAGGAAAAACCAGGTGGCGAGTCTCAACTGAATGTGAAAAATGTAAGGCTACATCCACCTGAAAGGGGCTCCTTATTGACAAATAAGTTGACCTCAAGACCTTCCTTCTACATTTCTGCGCCGCTTTGCCGTGAATTAGCCTATCCATTTATGCAACTCCCAACGGCAAGTTCCATATTCGCTGTTCACTAAAGCCCGAATTAATACGGCTATCTCCTTCTTCATGGCGTACCGCTTTCCTTCTGCCCTGTTAAAACCATCAAAGGCGGGGGTCCCCACAGGACACTCGATTTTTTCCCCCCGTTCGCGCTGCCTGGGATCGGCATAGAGCTTCTTGGCCAGCCAGAACCTGTTTCTCATGGGGCAGTGTTTGATCCCAGTGTGCCCAGAGTTCATTTTAGCGCAAGCTTGACCGTGTTACACAGGTCAACACATACAAGGAAGCCATTCAAACAAATGAGATGTTCAAGCGCAGTGGTCCAGGCGCATGCCTCTCCAAGTACCGCATGGTAAGCGAACAAAGGGAAGGGACGTCCTTGTCCTGGGGAAAGCCAAGGGACCCCGCAGGAATGGGAATGAACCGAAGTACTCCCGAGCAAAGACACATGATACTTGCTTGGTGTGTTGCAAGGGAGACTCAGCGGACTGCAGGTCTTGTGTCCCTTTACCGGGTCACATTTGGGGTCGCTTCTGTTCGAGTGAGCTTCACCATGAGAGCCACTTAGTTGTGGACAGCTGTGACACAAAGGGGAATCTGAGTGTGTACGAACCAAACAAAAAGCCCAGCACACATACCTCATGCCTGATAGAGTATGTTGCAGTGTGCGGTGAATCCATCCTGGATGGCGCTTCCTTGCACTCCACATCAGAAAGTTGATGCAATTCAAAGATGGCGTGTGGCTCGCGCACTGGACTCTCTCAGACTCTCAGGCAGGGCAACTCAATTCCGTCCAGGCCATCTATATCCGAGATCCCTTCAAGTGCTCAGCCCCAGGTTTGCAGCACGCGGCTCTCAGTTGTTCAGTGACCCTGGAAAAAAAGGGAACCCTTTTTGGGGAAGACCACTTTTAGTGGGGCAGCCACCCAAAAAAAAGGAAAAATAATAGGTGCCACTGAACAACTGAGGGCTTTTTGGGTCTCGGAAGAACTGACGCTATCCCAAAGACCTCGCCTGGAGAGAAAGGTGTCCGGCCTCGGATCCCCAGGCGGATCCACTTCTGTGTCTCAACGCGAGAGATGCAGGAAATGAGAAAGGGACCCCGACAAACTTGGCTGGAATTAGGACCCCAGCAAAAAAAATATCCTTTTTGCCCGATTAGTGGAAAACAAAGGGACCCCAAACAAGCAAAAAAGCAAAAAGGGGAGCGTTAGCTGGGGAAGCAAAAACCATCCGAAATCCCCATGTTCATTCCCAGATTCCCTGCCTATCGCACCAGCAAGTCAAGTCACTCCTTTCGAGCTCCAAAAATGTCCGGCGCCCATGCCGCTCAAAGATTCTTCTACACAGCGGCTTCGGTGATGGTAATTTTCAGTCTATTTCATGATCGGCTTCCTCTTGCTTCCTTTCGAAACCATCAACGTGGTTCTCAGCCCGGACCACATATTCTCTGAAGTAACATTCGAGGGAACGCACAATTGTGGGTCATTTAGCACCCGGATGCACGTAAGGCCCACCTTTGTAGAGGACTTTTCTGAGGAACAGACCCTCCCATTTTCAACTGAGTCGTTCCCTTGGAGCCATCAGCTGAGAAAGGCCACCAATCCGCCATCACCTATGCAGGGTTGAAGGGGGGAAGTCCCTGTAACAGCTACTCTCCAAGCATCCAAAATGGAAACTCTGCATCCCTCGAATCGACTTTTTTGTATTGGTGATTTGGTGTATTGGTGATTTGTATTGGTAATCCATTAACCCTCTACAAATACCAGGGGTTCAAACCCAGCCACCGATCCAAGCCGATTCGTCTTCCAAACCGCAGTCCCACTTCGCAATCCAATGTGCGCTTTGAGGATCTGGTTCCTGCGGTTTGGACCAGCGCACAAGTAAGTCACCGAACAAGCTTCTTTGAAAAGTATGGACGCACCTTTTTTGGGGGGTACCCCTTGTTTGTGGTTTGGAAAAAAAAAGGAAGAACCCGGCATTTTTCTTTGTTTTTTTTTTTTGGGGGGGGTCCCTAAAAGACACCCACATTTGGAGCACCAAAGCTTCCTCGGCCCTGCCAATGGTCACCTGAGCGGTCCAGCTCTAGGTCGAACTTGCACCAGGCCTGGCCAACCAACTCGACCAGAAAGCAAAGGGAAAGCAACACATCAAAGTTCCCTGTACTTACCTGTTAGACAGCACACCAAAACAAAGCTCAGTTTGAATTGGCCAGGGTGACCTTTAGAGCTTATTAAAGCCATTAAACAAAAGAGAAAAACAAATGGGGCTTGTGTTCCGCTGTGCCTCATGGACTCTGGCACTCTTCAAAACCAAAACATTGGGCGTGGTTTCTCTTCCCCAACAAGTGTTGGGGGATGGTTCTCTGTCCAACCTCGGAAAGTTGCATGGAATTGGCGACCGCCCATCCCAAACGCAAATTGTTTGCCTGAAGGGGAAGTTCCCTGCTGTCACATAAGTGGAAATCATCCTTCTGCCACATCATGAAAGAAAGGCAGTGCAAAGGCAACAACGATGGAATTCCAGGAAGAGTCCCAACTCAGTGCCTGCTCATTGCGGAAGACGTTCGCAATAGGCCGTTTGCATATACTATAACTACAATTTGCAGATGCTAATTCCAAGATGAGGATGAACAACTCTTAAGGCGAGCTCATCAGGTGTGCGTTGCAAACCATTTCATCATTGACAAACAGTTCCTGCCAACTAACTAGCTGTGTCAGTAGTATTGAGTTTGAGAGTTCAAAACACAACACACGTAACAAAGATAGTTGTCATTAAACATCAAGAATCGAGTAGCAAAATATTTGAGACAATACACAAATACAATGCTGGAATTCCTTCCAAACAGACCTGAAATTTGATTGTTTTCCATCAAGAAACAAGCTAGTTTTATGCATAGCTTACACCCGCTCAGGGTACTCGGGACCTCCCCCCCTGCAACTACCAAACACAACCACTGACCTTGATGTCAACGGAGCTCGACTAGCAACAATCCACGCATGCGAGCAAACGATATCCTAGAACCCATCCCTTCCAGGCAAGCTAGGAAAAAACATGATGTAGAACCAAGAGGTAGAACTCACTTGTTGTCTGATTAATATAGTGGTAACTGGAAGCACTGGGAAACACCAGTATGACTTCTGCCACCAAAAATGAAGCGCACAGAAGCCTGTCCGACTGTCTTCTGGGAAGGAGACTTCAGGTATGGCTTAGCATCTGAAGAGCACGGTGGATCAAAGGAAAACCGCCCTTGTTAAACTGCGCTGCCAAAATGGGTCCACGTTTTCTTCAGGGTAAACTAACTCATGGACCAGGCGGGGCAGCTATAGTGAGTGAGGCTTGCCTGCATAAGCAAAAAACCAAGGATATTGGGGGAGATAGGTGGTAGCCCCCCTTTCCATACATAGGACCCCCTGGAGGTGAATGACTAACGTTCAGCCAGTCCCTTTCGAGGTCTCAAGCCATTACCTGCACAGATTCTCCGGTTTGAAAATCACAGAGGCACTTTCCGCAGAGCAACCTCTGGAAAAACCAGCTCAAAACAATTGGCGAATAAAGAAAACAAGACAAAACAGAAACAACAGCCTTTAGGCCTTCACACCAGCTGGTGGTAAACTTAAACCCAAAGATTCACCCTGCCTATTTCAATTGGAACCCAGAAAGCCCTCATTTCCACACACATTTTTTTGGTTGATCGCCTTTTAACCCCAATGGCTGGGACCCAGCCCGAAGCACCCGCCTTGCTGGCATTCGCCATCCAGAGCTCCACGTTCAGCATGTCTTCGTCCTATTTGCCGATGGTTTCTTTACGGATCAGCCAAACAAACAAGAAATCAGTCACGTTGCTTGGATATTTCAAAGTAAGATTAAATTTTCTCATGGAACGACAGAAGTCTCTAAGTGACTTCAGGGTTTGTGAGTGTTGCAGGTTTTGCTGAGTGGTGTCTCTCCCCCCCCCCCTGAAGGAGCAACAAATCAGATAGGTCCCAAATTTTGGTGACCCACCAAAGAGCAGCAGCCATGTAAGCAAGAGAAGCAAAGGCTTCTCATGCCATCTGGGCCTGCTTCAGCCGGATGGAACTTGAATCATGGGACGTCTTGCATCCCGCATATGCACTTTTTCCGTTCCATGAAGGCCCGCCTTTTGTGGAACACGTGTGGCAATCTGGCCTTTACCATTCGGTAACCTTCGGCGTGCAGCGCTGAAGGGTGCGTGCTAGCGCGGCCGTCTGATTGCAGACGTGGGCTGAACGGCGTCAAATTACCCTCTTGGTCTGGAGACTTGGGGTCGACCTCTGGCTCTTGCTTGGCCTAGATTGCCCAAGGAGCAAAAGCCATGAAATCTAGCATGGCGGTGCGGCGGCCGGTTGTGCGTCAACGCAAATCAGGGACATCGGACCTTGTTCTTTTGTTCTTTTAACTCTAGGACGTTTTTGCCGAAATCCATATGGGTGCATCGTGAAGTCGGGCCCCCCGCCAGCTGTTGTTAGGGAAACCAACGGAAGCCGTCCAGGGGGTGCTTGCGAATGGGCAACCATTTCTGAACCCCGAAGGACAGAAGGGGCTGGAGCCCACAACTGGAAGGGCTTTGTCGCGAACCAGGCCGAGCCATATGGGAGCCAGAGCAGTGCAACAGAGCAGTGACTAGTAGAAGCGGAAACAAACAAAAACATGCGAGTGCCATTGAGCGCCATGACTTTCCCATGGCGCTCCTGGCGAGTCGGCTCGAAATCATCATTTAAGATCCTCCATGCTCCCAGACTTCATTGCTTTAGGGAGTCCACTTATCTCCGGGTGGATCTAACTGGCCGTGTGGAGGGGCCACAAAGATGATGAGGACATGTGCCATGAGCTGTGAGAACTTGGGCGGGGGGGGGGGGATTCTACGCATTCCTCGTGAGAACTTGAAAATTAGCCATGGGGGACGAGAGCAGATTGGAGGGGCCCTGCCTAGTTCACTCGACAATGCGTGCATCACCACAGAGCATGTTTGTGAGAATCCAGGTAAGCTTACCAAAATGCTGGTACATATCTGTCTCAAGAGAATATAGATACATGAGAGGTGAATGTTGATCGGCGTTGGCAAGCTGGTCTAAAACTCGAAACACAGTCTCGGAACTCCAGTTCATCCTGAGCGAATTCCTGTAATCCCGTACTAGTAGGGAAGCCGCTGGGACCAACCATCAAGCACCTACAATTTGCCGAACATAAACGCTGCGAGCAATACAACACCACTCTGTCACGCGCAATCCCTCCTGGATGCGGACTTTCTAGTAATGGCAGATTACTTTCAGGACCCTCTTTGGAGTTTGCTTTGAGGGAAAGCTAAAGGAAACCGGGGCTCTCGTAATATGCCAAAGGCAAACCCATAGCCCGGTCAAAATGGCTTGCTTTCTGTAAAGGACATGGGACAAAAGTCGAGTGCCTTGATTTCTGCAGGACATTTGCGCTGAGTCCCCGAATCTCCCGCCCGAGCTGTGAACTTTCACCGAACCTATGAGGCTCTGCGAAGGCATCGCAACGGGTCGAGCCTCCATCATCCAAGCCTCGAAGGAAAAGGATCTCAGCCTCCGTGCCTGGCGACGCGCAACGCGCCCGGGCTCTGATTATTTCCCGTGGCTATGAACTTGAAACGGGAATCCTGCAAAAGTGGTGGACATGAATCCCCGAACTTCGAAGTCCACCAAGTTGTAAGGGACCCATGTACATTCAAGCTTGTTGTGGTTGATTATAGTGTTGCCGCCATACGTTCAATGGTCAAAATGATTCACGTGGTGGATCATGGTTGTCTATCCCTGCCAGGAGTCAAGCTAGCAGCTCTGTTGAACATAGCAGACAGTCCTTTAGTCAACCCTTCCCACAAATTTCTGCCCAGATCGCACTTCCGAACAGCTGGCTCCTGGGCTGCCAGATCCAACACGTGCTCGAGCACTCGCACCGCTGGGAACCGGAGCTGAGCAGCAAGCTAATCAACACACAAATGGAGCATCAGCCGCCTGTGACAGGTCTGGCTTGCCAGCCATAGCAAAGCTGGGGGTCTTGCTTGCCATAGAAAAGCTTAAGTTGAGCTCAAAGGCGAACGCTTCGAGTTTGTTTCCGGCGGAAAAGGGGTTTCCAGGCCGCACCGGTGGAGTTTCTTGCAGCATACCTGCAAGAAGCTCTCCAGGAGACTGTGAGCTTCTTAGGGGCCATGCAGCCGGGGTTTCGGGTGACATGGGCTGCGACTGATAGGCCTAAGGACAAACGAAGGCCAAGGTTGGTGGGTGCGGGTTCTGACTTGTCCCTGACTCGTCCCTGACATGTCCAATCAATCATAGCGGTGGATTCCCGCAAGAATGCAAGTAGGGCACAAGCAAACAATGATGTCTATGCTAGCATGTATAGAACTGTGCAAGGTACTTTCCTCATAGTGAGCGGTCTTGCTCAACTGGAACGCAGTCAATGTCAAACTCCTCCGACTGAGACACTGTTCAAAGGGAATATAATAAGCTTCAACGTAAAGTACATGGCCGCAAGTGAAGACATCCCATGATATCCCATCGGCTTCCAACACAACCTGACACTGGCGTTTAGTGGCTGCCACTGAACTGTGCAATTCTGATGGCACTGGCTTGAGCGCCTTACTGTCGCTTGATGAAGCGGGAGCCCACCGAAAGAACAGGACACAAGGGGTGGACCCCACTCGACAGGGGGATCAGCTTGCGTGACGGATCAGTACCACCATGCATGGTACTGTTGCCAGAAGAACACCCACAAAGCCATGAACGTGGAATATCCCAAAAAAAGAGCAATGTTTAAACCAGCCTCTTTTTGGTGGACCCCCATTTCTGTGCTATGCTAATTTGATGGGGAGTCAATCGCAGGAACTTTCTCGTCGGCCTTGGAAGGCAACTCGCCAGCTCGCCTTGCCGCCGGCTTGCAGCAAGTCCGGCACATTGAGCTGCACCAAGTTAGACCTTGACTCACGTTGACTTCTCCGAACAAATTGTCGGGGTTCAGTATTCAATTCTCTCTTCTCCAAACGATGTTGAGGCTTCTGAATTATCTCCTCTTCAAGTATCACCCACCGGAAGGAAACTCCCTTAAATTTATTCTGGCAAATTGGTATAGGTCACCAACTGGAAATCGGAGTCCCAAGCGAGGGCTGTTCATCATCGGCGAGCTAAGTTTTACCCCAAGTGAGCTCTTCATAATTGGTGCAAACATGAAGGGCATGCAACATCCAGGCAAAGCAAAGCACCTATCAATGTAACTCTGTGTTCGAACCTGCGACAACTTGCATTCGAGTGTGACAGGCAAAGTACACGCGACATTTCGAAAACATGTTCTGTACACCAACATGGATGCGTCTTTTCTATGACCTTATACCTTTGAGGACAGCTGGTAGAAAAAGAAAACAAAGGCACATCATTAGCTTAATTCGTGGGGACCCCCATTTAGAGACAAGGCCTCTGGCACCTCCTGCTGCAAGTCCACTTCCGGCTTGGTACTGCTAAAACGAACTTTACAAACGAAAAGAATGCGGCTAAGGAATCCGGGAAAAGGCTGATATTTTGAGAGTGGATGGCTTCTGCACGTATGGCACTTTGCCAGATACGCCCTCCAGGGCGGCAACAGCGCAATCTAAGTTGAGTTTTCCTAATCAACTTGGCATGCCGAGAACGCATTACATAGGGGGTTCAGCAACAAGCTGCCATAGTCCAACACAACCAATATTCGCACCACCTTGTACCCACACCTTCCGACTATAAATCTATAGCATGTTGTGGTTTTTGTGTTGTCAGCAACACGCCCTCTCAAAGCCGATCTCCCTTCCTTCCCACAGAAACGACAAACATCACGCATTCTGTTCAATCGAAGAATTGGCAGTCACCAAACAGTAGCTTATCCAATACAAGCCACATCCAAGCAACCGCAATCAAGACCTATTGGCAACCAAACACAAGGAACCGTTTGCCTAAAACTCAGAGTTTACCCTTTGACCCCCAGCTCGTGTGGCAAGTCAAGCCTGAACAGTGTGTCAAGCTTTTGTATACATGCTTGCTTTCTACGATTGACACACGCACACGCTGAAACCTGTCCAATTCCTACGCAGTAAACACAAAACAAACCAAACAAACAAAGGAACAAATAACTGCAGAAGCAAGCACGCAAGCAAGCAAGCAAGCGAGCGAGCGAGCAGGCAGACAGGCAGGCAAGCGGTCAATAAAAGCGAACACACAACAAACAGCACAAGCAAGCAAATATCCACAAATCAAACAACAAACATCCACAAACAATCAATGAAACACAAGAACCACATCAAACAACACGAGTCAACAACAATTTAAGTACGGAAAATAACATATATAAACAAAGACAGGACACAATAATCAACACAATGAACGAAGACATGGATAAACAAAGACACAACATACGTCAACCACGAGAAACAAATAGACCGAAACCAAATACATAAGTTAAAGACAGACAGCAAGCAAGAAGACAGACAGACCGAGCGCCAAAACACACAGAACAAACAAGCAATCTAACACACACACACACACAAAACACACACACAAACACACACACACACACACACACACACACACACACACACACACACACACACACACACACACACACACACACACACACACACACACACACACACACACACACACACACACACACACACACACACACACACTTAAACTCCAAATGGAGAGTGCTAATCTTTCGAGTACAACTGATGAGTCTCGAGTACAACTGATGAGTCTCGAGTGGGTGTGGGTTCGGCTGGCAAGCACTTGGCTTCACTCTAGTGTCGAAAACGTTACAAGTTCCAACATGAAGCACACACAGCGCCGCAAAAGAGGGCCAAAAGGACATTTCATCAATCACTTCAAAAAGCAGGTACACACGGGTGATCAATCCGTGCATCCACCATCAAGCATAGCTTCGTTGGCCAGCGTTTGCTTGATGGCCGCTGGCCCCCTGCTGAAAACCGAAAGGTGGTGACAGGGTATTCTGTCACTCCGCACACACACGCCCCTCAATGAGGGGCGAGGAGTCTCCTTTTCTGCAGGAAGATCACATGCTCAACTTCGTGTTCCTATCGTTGACCAAAATATCCACCGCGGCGAGGGGAACGCGAAACAGCCCTAAACCGCTCAGAAGACGGGAACGAGAGATCACCACGATGAGCATTGCGAGTGTCGCCATAGAGGACTGAAGCGAATTGCGAAGCAGTCGAGCGATCACCATCAGAAATAGGAGTGGCATAGGTGAACGTTTCCTCAACAGGAATGGCATCGGAATTCTGACCATCTCCAAGTGATTGATCATGGGAATGATGTGTAGTGAAGGACTCCCTTCGAGACAGAATGCGTTGGTATCCTTGATGCTGCCAGTCGCGAATGGTCCATGCCTGACCGTGTTCACCAGTACGCCCACTGGGATCAGTTACCCGCTGCCACTCCCGAAAAGAATTGTCTGGTAGATCAGGTACAGTGTCTCCGTGGTGCCACCGCTGAGGCTGTCCTGGAGTATAGACCCGCACCCACTCCTGAGCCTGCCAGACCGAGTATTCGAGCCATGGGTGCAGCTTCGCATCCTCGATGTCCATGTCGAAGTAAGAGGCAAGGCGTATCGCGGGTTCAGATCCAGCTAGTAAAGAAACAGGCACCATGCACAACCATGCACAAGCATCAACCAAGCAAGGTAGTGCAAGTATGAAAACCACCCCTTTTTGTATTCTGCCCAACACGCGTGAGTCTAGTCATCATTTAGCTCGAAGATAGGTTTGACCTTCGCGGTGGTGCTGCCTGATGGATTCACAGGCCGGTATGGGTCAGAGACCCCAACAGTCTCCGGTGGTGCAATTCCACGAGATGCACGTACAGGTTGGTGTTGGTGGGAAGCGTGACGTGCGCGATCCGACAGTTGTTGAGAGATCCCCTCTTGGAGACGAGTCAGATCTTCAGTGGAGAAAGCCGCCGCATCCGAGGATCTAAGAATCGCTTCCAACATCTGCGGTGACATACTCAATGCCGCGGATTGCGTGGCCACGTTGTGGTGATCAGGAAAAGACATCGAATCAAAGTCATGACCAGCTTGAGGGGCAGCGACTCTCCGATAGCCCACTGTAGCCCAGTCTCTTTTGTACCACATGCTGTCATTGGGCTGCGCACCGTCTTGATCCGGATTTGGGACATAGAACTCCTTCCACTCTCTGTATGCGTGAGGCGGAGGTGGAGCATCATGTTCTTCATGTGGAGTCCATGATCCCGGATGAAAGATCTTGACCCACTAGGCATCTGGTTGTTGAGGATCCGGACACCATTCCAGCCACGGCATGACAATTCAAACCCGGGGAGACAGATTGATAGGTGTACGGCTGCAGACAATAATTACTGCAAGAGACACAACAACAACCACGCAAGCAATCACTTTTGCAGCAATGCACGGCTCAGGTGTTGAAGTCAATCTCCTGAATCGAATTGAATTGAATAGACTCCCCAGGAAGACGAGGACGAGCATCAGCCACCATCTGAGTTTGAAGATGCCGACAAAGAGGCAGTCCAGCGTACATGAGGTCCGGTGAGCGCGAAGCGAAAACTGGACGCGCAATGCTAGGGTGTAGACGACCCAGCCGTTGATATCCTCTGGTGACCCAGTCCCGATAATGCCAAGTATAGAAGGATGCATAAGAGACCGGCTGAGAAACAGCACCCATATTGGTGCCGCCCGTGCTCTCCCTCGGCCAATACACTTCGAAGTGGCATACTTTGCGCCACTCCCGATAGGTGGTTGAGTCCTCCGGGGCAGGTCCCAAGGTGTTTTCGGCGACTGGATGCCACGGACCCGGCACATAGATCCGAATCCACTCAACGCTTGTGTTCGCGGGGCCATTGACGATGTCGTAGTCAAAGTAGTGTGGCAGGGTCCATCGTGCAGCGCCATACATTGTAGAGTTGAACATATCAACCAGGCAAGCCGCTCGAAGTCATAAAGGAAAGCGGCGAACACATGGAGACGGAACGCACAACACAAAGCAAGACAACCCAACATGGAATCGCACTCAACACAGGGACAACCGCGTCATTTTATCCGACATGCTACCCAAGTATCACTCCGAATCGTTCCAAGGATCATAGAATGGTGGTGGTGAAGGTTCCCGCCACGCCCCATCCGGAACAGATGAGTCCACCGAGGAATTAGCGTCTGCATTCACGAGCGTCGCGGATCCAATGGCTGGTACAGGAGCTCCAAGACGTTGATACCCTCGTGTGTGCCAGTCGCGGTACTCCCACACGTGGTAGGACACAGACGAACTGGGCGTGACGATGGGGTCCACTGTTGTTCCTCCGGTGCTGTCTTCTGACCAGTACACTTGGAAGCGATATGACCTGCGCCACTCCCGATACGTGGAAGCGTAGATTGGGGCGCGCACTATAGCATCATTGGGAACGGGCCGCCACGTGCCCGGTGTGTAAATCCGAATCCATTCCACTCCTCTCACGATCTGGTACTCGAAAAAGTGAGGATTCATAGCGGCAAGACAGGTTGTGGCTGAAAGCAAGCGAAAATCTGCGGCGAAGACACTAAAGCAATGACAACCACACACAGCTAGAGTGTTAACCGAGGCGATGCAAGGCAACTTTTCAAACTGAAAGTGAGACACAGCAGCGAGGTTTGTAATATACGACACCTATGCTTCACCGCCGCTGATGCCGCACGCACCTGCAATGATAATGTCCTGGTTGTCTACGAGCACATGGAGAAAGACATTTCCGACCATGGCGTAGGAAGGCATGACAGTAATGCTTGCAATTTGCCGATGGGGACAGCGATGGACGGGTGGCTCGTTTGGAGGGGAACACGGTGAAGGGTCGCCGAGATCTCCGCGGTGCAGAAGCGGATGCTGTTCGAGAGCGTTTCGAGGAACGCCCAGGACTGCGTAGATCTTCATCAC